ACAAGATGAGCAAAAACCATCTGAGAGGGGAACCACCGAATGGCAGGCTACTTCAGCTGCTGCCCGTTCTCAGTATACTCTTGCGACCCATTTTTATGTTTTATTAGAGAATTTGTATTTCACACATTAATCACAAACTAATTATAAAAATATAATTTATTGTGACAATAATTATTAATAATATTATTATGTAACATGCGTGACAATAATCAGTGATTATTTAGGTATAACATAAGTATACATATGTCAAAAGTATTGACATCATTACAGATAGCAATAGCAACAATTATATCCACATAGATGCAATTTCAACAAGATTTACGACATTACACTTTTTTTGAAATCAGGTATGCCATTCCTTAACACAGAACACAGCATCTCACAGCCTCACACTACAGCACATCATATGGTCGTAAAAACTTTACTTCTGTCTGTCTGAATCACACTGTTAACTCACTCACTGCTTGCTACAATTCTAACAGGAAAATACCTTTTATATTGCAATGACAAATACAATAATTCTCATACCAGATCAGTAAACCTTTCCTTCTCATCCAATAACCAATACGGATAATTCTAATCAGATTTTACTTTTGTAGAATTTTAACTTTCCTAATTAAAGATGACTATCCCTAATTTCAGATAAGTAATATATATGGATAAAAGTTTTGTATGCTAAACTTGGCAATTTACCAGTACATATATTGTTATTTATTCCTTCTGCAGTAAGAAATTTGGAGCAATATATTTACTTAGCTAATTATGATTTCATAATCATTGAAATCTGACAGCCTTTATCCAGGTATATTTCTGCTCTTATGAAAAATTTATTAAATTAAATAAAACCAGCATAATTACCAGCTTTCTTGATAGAATATCTTTAGTGTTACAAAAGACTGGAAATCACTATGTTGCTGTTTTAACTCACCGATTGATACTGTTTGCCACTGCATAAGTTAAACAGAAAACCACACGAATGGATTACGCGAACCCTTATGAAGGCTCCATTCGTGGTACGAACGGGGGACCCCCCAGAAACTGGCGTGTGCCGCCACTTAACCCCGTCACCCCGCAAACTACCGAACGGTTGACCACCCGGCCCGCGGAGTGTGGCAGCCATTAACCACCCAGGTGGCTGCGGTTTACGGTTAACCACAACGTAATTGATATGCCTGGGGGCATCGACGTTCACACCCAAAGTACCGAAGGGAAAATACCGAACTATCCACCGAACGACGACCCCCTACAGCGGGTCGCGTGGCGCTCATTAATTGTGGTTTCTGCGGTTAACCGCAGGTCAAGTACCCTGCTCCCAGGTGGTCCTCATTCTCTTACCGAACGAGCCCACTACCAGACAGACAGCGGGACTTCGCATGAACTGATACCGAGTTTAGTTCCACGAGTTAGAAACGAAGTCCCGCTACTCGCTAAACCAGCAGAAAACATGGCCGCCAACAAAGACTAACAATCTCAAAATGCCGAACGGACTTTATACGGCAGAAACAGTACATTCTGTTCGTGGGATTAGAGCGCCATTCGCCTGTTTTTATCTATACGAACGCGAGCCTTCAGATGAATGGTAGAATGAATGGTTTTCCTGCAATAATGTACAAGTTATGGATTTTTATGTAGTTTTCTGGGACATAATAAAACGTGGTCTTTTGTGCGCTTGGAGATAATTAGATTGTAAAACCGTTGGCCTCATTATCTCCAAGCTGGGCGGGTACTAATTCAAATGATACAGTGTACTGTGATTGGTTACCTGTTGGTACTGTACCTGTATTCCATCAGGTCCACAGGGGGCTGTCCTTGGACCTGAGGAATCACATAAATTGCCATGCTATGTGCCAGTAAAGTCAGTTCGTTTTGACCCTCAACTTGCAGCCTCGACTCATGTTGTAGGGATCCGGGATATTGATGCTCATATCGTGCTTGGGGATATTCTACATTTGCAGCTTACTACCGAAAGACCTCCGTTCGACTCTCTGCAGCGGGAACCAGGACATCCAAGCGATCAACCCTCCTGCTAGACCGGGGGCAATCGTAACAATTGGTGGCAGTGGTGGGATCATCCTGGAATTCCTGAAAGAGCTATATAGGACGGATGGAGAGTAACTACGATAAGCTGAAGCGTACCACGTTAAAGGATTTACTCGAGAGCCGTGGAGGGAACGCAAGTAACCGGCCGAGGAGAGAATTGATTGCCGACCTGAACGAGTTGGATCAAAGCTTCACAATGGCAGAACCGACGGCAGCATTCAGCGATGAGAAGACCAGGATTGTCCGAGAAAGGCTGCCTCTGTACGGACCGAACCCATCCGTGGAGCTGATACAGCAACTAATGGCCGAAGCCGAGGCGGACGTACAGCGGACGTACAGCGGACTAGAGCCCACGAGCTGAGCATGAGGACCGCTGATAGCCACAACGGCTCACTGGAAACTGCCGAACAGCCAAAGATTCCGTTCGCGGCATTCAAGCCGTTCGCGGAGAATGAGATGGGGATAGACGAATTTTTGGCCGATTTTGAAAGACAATGTGCCCTGCATCAGATCCCCGTCGCAGCATGGCCGCGTATCCTGGCAGGAAAATTAACCGGGCGGGCCATGGAAGCCTTCAGAACCCTCAGCGCCGAAGAGGTAGCCCAATACCCCACAGTAAAAGAGACGCTGCTGAAACGGTACGCTGTGACCCCAGACACCTACCGAAGGCAGTTCCGCAGCACGAAGAAAAAGGCGAACGACACACATGCCGAATGGGCACACCGCATGCGTAGAGCGGCTAGAAGAGGTGTCGGGCCGTTTCCGCAGCAGAGGTACTAGAACTATTTTTACTTGAACCTTTTTATGAGGGTCTGGAACAAAAAGACAGGGAGTGGTTGAAAGACCGGCGTCCCGCTAATCTACATGAAGCCGCCAGGTTGGCGGACGAACACCGGGATGCGCAAGTTCAGGAGTTCAGCAATGCCCGAACGGTAACTCGCCCCGAAGCAAGAGAGGGGTACCGACCAACTCCACGAACGGAGTTTCGCACCCCTGTACTGGCAGGTCCTACACGGTACACGGGACCACCCAGTCAATACCCGCAGGAGCGCTCCCGACCCACATGTTACAAGTGCAAGCAACCGGGGCACCTGATAGCGAGTTGCCCCCTCAACAACAATTACCCCGCAAGTAACTACAATTCCTCTTCAACGGGAAACAATCGCCCAGCTCGAGCGTTTTGCCTGGAACAAGACAGTCCTTTAGAAGAGTACCTGGGACCCCTACATGAAGCTAACCCTGTGTATGCCGTCAGTGACAATAGACAACACCACCGGCAAGAGGTACTGCTGGAGGGTCATCCCACACAGGGGTTAAGAGACACCAGGGCCCCGATCACCTTGGTACAAAGCCGGTTAGTTCCCGAATACAAACGCTCTCCTGACACAGTGGCTGTCCGGGTGGCTGGAGGGGACATATACAAACTACCCACAGCAAAGGTACACTTGGATTGGGGTGCGGGCAAAGGACTTGTGCGGGTGGGAATTATGGATAATTTGCCAGCTGAAGTTTTGCTGGGAAACGACCTGGGACCTATGACCTCAGCTTATGCTCCTTCTTACAACACTGAGGCACATCCCGTGACGACCCGGTCACAAGCAGGACGAGTACGAGACCCTTCACCAGTGCGGGAGGCTCAGGTGAGACTTAACCCGACTGTCTCCTACCTGTTACGATTGCCCCCGGTCTAGCAGGAGGGTTGATCACTTGGATGTCCTGGTTCCCGCTGCAGAGAGTCGAATGGATGTCTTTCGGTAATAACTGCAAATGTAGAATATCCCCAAGCACGATATAAGCATCAATATCCCGGATCCCTACAACATGAGTCGAGGCTGCAAGTTGAGGGTCAAAACTAACTGGCTTTACTGGCACATAGCATGGCAATTTATGTGATTCCTCAGGTCCAAGGACAGCCCCCTGTGGACCTGATGGAATACAGGTACAGTACAGACACATATCCAATCACAATACAGTGTATCATTTGAATTAGTACCCGCCCAGCTTTGAGATAATGAGGCCAACGGTTATACAATCTAATTATCTCCAAGCGCACAAAAGACCACGTTTTATTAGGTCCCAGAAAACTGCATAAAAATCCATAACTTTCACACTAATAACGGGAAACAGCTCATTCTACCATTCATCTGAAGGCTCACGTTCGTGTAAATAAAACAGGCGAATGGCGCTCTAATCTCCAGAACAGAATGTACTGTTTCTGTCGATTGAAGTCCGTTCGGCATTTTGGGATTATTAGTCTTTGTTGGCGGCCATGTTTTCTGCTGTTTTAGCGAGCAGCGGGACTTCGTGTCTAACTCGTGGAACTAAACTCGGTATCAGTTCATGCGAAGTCCTGCTGGCTGTCTGGTAGTGGGCTCGTTCGGTAAGGGAATGAGGACCACCTGGGAGCAGGGTACTTGACCTGCGGTTAACCGCAAAACCCACAAGTTAACGAGCGCCACACGACCCGCTGTAGGGGGTCGGCGTTCGGTTGATAGTTCGGTATTTTCCCTTCGGTACTTTGGGTGCGAACGTCGATGCCCCCAGGCCTACCAATTACGTTGTGGTTAACCGCAAACCGCAGGCACCTGGGTGGTTAATGGCTGCCACACTCCGAGGGCTTGGTGGTCGACCGTTCGGTAGTTTGTGGGGTGACGGGGTTAAGTGGCGGCACACGCCAGTTTGTGGGGGGTCCCCCGTTCGTACCACGAATGGAGCCTTCATAGGGTTCGCATAATCCATTCGTGTGGTCTTAACTTATGCAGTGGCAAACAGTATCAATCGGTGAGTTAGAACAGCAACATAGTGATTTCCAGTCTTTTGTAACACTACCCCTTTGCCCTGGGGTTTTTGGTCTGCAGCCTTTGAGGCTGAGACCAAAACTGACCCGACGCTCCAAAAATATAGGGAAAGGGCTGATATAGGGGCTGGGGGACCAGACCAGGAGACTTTTGCGTGGGAACAGGGCCGACTGTACCGACACACCGAGAAAAAAGGCCACTGGAGGAGACAGTTAGTAATACCCCACAAGTATAGGCGGGATATCCTCCGGGTGGGTCATGATATTCCCTTAGCCGGGCACTTGGCAGTAACCCGTACCCATACCTTGTTCTGTGAGGTCCTATTGTAATACGTGTGAGGTGTGCCAACGGGTAGGCAAACGAGGAGACCACCCCAAGGCACACCTCGTTAACATGCCCATTATCGACGAGCCGTTTAGCCGGGTAGCCATTGACTTAGTTGGGCCCCTGGCCACCCCTAGTCCCTCGGGCAAGAGATACATTCTTACCATAGTGGACTATGCTACCCGCTACCCAGAAGCTGTAGCTTTATCTAATATCCAGGCAGACACGGTGGCTAATGCATTAGTGCAGGTGTTTTCTCGGGTAGGATTCCCTAGGGAGATCCTATCCGACAGGGGATCACAGTTCACGGCAGAACTGACCCAGCAGCTATGGCACATTTGCAAAATAAAATCCCTTCTTAGCTCCCCGTACCACCCCCAGACCAATGGGCTATGTGAGCGGTTCAACTGAACCCTCAAGCAGATGTTAAAAACCTTTACCCAGGAGTATAGGGACTGGGAACGCTTCCTGCCGCACCTCCTGTTCGCTTACCGGGAAGTGCCCCAGGAAACCACCGGGTTCTCTCCCTTTGAGCTGTTATACGGTCGCAAGGTACGGGGTCCCCTGAACCTGATCCGTGAGCACTGGGAGGGAGAGACAGAGAACGCCGGGGTCCCCATCGTGCCTTACGTACTAGAGCTCAGGGACCGAATGGAGCAATTGGCTAAGTCAGTCCAGGCCAACCTCCAGGCGGCCCAGGGGCGACAGAAAGTCTGGTACGACCGGGGGGCACGGCGGAGAAGCTTCTGTCTCGGACAGAAAGTCATGGTACTAAAACCAGTTAAGGCAGACAAGCTACAAGCAGCCTGACAGGGTCCCTACCAGATAGTAGAGAAGAGAGGAGACACCACTTATGTAATTGCCAGCTGTCACGATGAAAACTTAAGGAAGATATTTCACGTGAACATGTTGAAGGAATACTTGCAGAGACCCGAGGAAGTGGTAGCCATATGTAGCCCTGCACACGAGGACGCAGATAGTCTCCCTATACCCGACCTATAGTACCTGGGTCACCGGGTAGGCTGTGGGAAACACCGACCAGAGCCAGCTAAAATAGAAGCGGTCGCCAACTGGCCCACTCCCCACACTAAGACCCAAGTGCTAGCCTTTCTGGGTACCGCTGGGTACTACAGAAAATTTGTACCGGAGTATAGCGCCATTGCCAAATCCCTGACCGACCTGACAAAGAAAAACCTTCCCCGACAGGTCCTGTGGTCTCCCCACTGTGAAACGGCTTTCCAAGCCCTCAAAACTGCGTTGATTAATGCTCCTGTCTTGGCTGCCCCAGCCCCTAATCGACGTTTTATTGTCCATACAGACGCTTCCATGTTCAGGCTGGGAGCTGTCCTCAGCCAAGTAGGAGATGATGGGAAAGAACACCCGATTGCCTACATCAGTCAAAAACTCCTACCACGCGAAGTCAGCTATGCAGCGGTAGAAAAGGAGTGTTTGGCTCTGGTGTGGGCACTAAAGAAGTTAACCCCCTATTTGTATGGACAAGAGTTCACTCTAGTTACAGACCATAACCCGCTGGTGTGGCTCAACCGGGTCGCTGGGGACAATGGCAGATTGTTACGCTGGAGCTTATCCCTGCAACCCTTTAATTTCACAATCACCTACCGACCTGGGAAGCAGAACGGCAACGCAGACGGATTATCCCGGCAAACAGATCTCAGCCCAGCATAACCCCACGAGTCTGGACAGCCTTAGTCTGCCCCGAAAAGGGGTCAGACAGTGTCTGCCAGAGTGTTCCACAA